ATGTTGACCAGGATGGTCTCGATCTCTTGACCTCGTGATCCACCCGCCTCGGCCTCCCAAAGTGCTGGGATTACAGGCTTGAGCCACCGTGCCCGGCCTCTTCTAAGGATTTTTAAAGCATATTTAATTCTCGCAGCACTCTGATGAAGGAGGCATTTTAAATATCAACATTTTACAGTTGAAGAAACAGAGGCCCAGAGACATTGAGCCACTTGTCTAAGGTCACACAGCTGACTAGTGGCAGAGTCAGCCTTTGAACCTCAGCCTCTGGTTGCAGAGCTTCGGTTTTTAGGCCCTGAATGACGCAGATGTGCCCTCGAGTTACACAGGGAGGCGGGTTGAGGGTGACCCCCACCAGGCCTACCCAAGGCTGGGTATTCATAATCACAGTGCACACACCAGGCCCAGGGGGGCCGAGCCACTTGCCCAAGCTCATACAGCAAGCTTACCCCACACCCGGGCTGTCCTGCAGCCTGGGCTACCCCGTTAACCCTACCTGGCCACTGCAGCCAACAGAGACATGGCATCCATCGTGTCTGAGATCATGATGTATGTGCTCATCGTCGTGCTGACCATATGGCTCGTGGCGGAGATGGTTTACTGCTACAAGAAGATCGCTGCCGCCACGGAGACTGCTGCACAAGAGAACGCGTGAGTGGAGTGACTGGGAGGCAGGAGGGCACCCAGGGCACCATCACACACAGAGAAGAGCACGGGAGCCAGGCTGGGGGGTGGGGAGCGACCCAGGGCGCCATCTCTCAGTACTTGCAGAGGGGAGTGCTTTCTGTCAGACAGGGGATAGGGGGTGTCGGGCCCAGCCCTTTCCTCCCTGAAACTCAAGAGCCCACGTAGCCTCCTCCACTCTTTAAGGAGCCCTGTGTACCTGGGGCAGAGACCGCTACCCTCCCTGTCCCCTGGGGGTCAGTCTGATAATGGGGTCACTGTACACCTGACCTTTCCCCGACAGCTCGGAATACCTGGCCATCACCTCGGAAAGCAAAGAGAACTGCACGGGTGTCCAGGTGGCCGAATAGCCCTGGTAAGGCGGATGGGCGGGCAGGGGGCCCGGGGATTGGGAGGGGTGGAAGTCCCCCGGGGCCCGGGGATTGGGAGGGGTGGACGTCCCCCAGGTCCCTAATTCCCCGTCTCTTGCACCCCTTCAGGCTCTGGGCCCCTCCTCAAGGAAGAGCCAGCCCTAATGGGGACTCTCCAGACACCGCCTGCCCCCATTTGGGGTGGGGTGGCCGCTTCTGGGCCCCGGAAAGCCTCAGAGTCCTGCTGACAGAGCCGCCGGGGAGGGAGCGGGCCGGGGGCTTGGCTTGCACCCCCACCTTCGCCTCCTCCAGCTCCTGCCCCCGGCCGCGCACCGCCATGCATGATGGGTAAAGCAATACAGCCGCTGCCCCCACCCTGCTTCTGCTGCCTGTTTGGGGAGGGGGGCGGTGAGGTGGGGGCAGCGGCCCCGCACCCCTCCTCCTTGCTGATTTGCACACATTGGCCGCTTCAGACGTGCACTTCTGGGGCCAGCCCCTCCCCGCCTCCTCCCTGCCCGGGGGCAGGGGTCGCGATGATGGGCTGGAGCAGTTTGGGGCAAGGGGTTCTGGGGCCCACTCCCACTCTCCCTCCCCAGCATCATTTCCCCTCCCGCTTCCTCCGGCTGGACCTGGGGTACCCGTCCCGGTGATGCACTCCTGCCCCGGCCCAACCTCGCCCTCTCTCACCAGCCTTGAACTGTGGCCACCTAGAAAGGGGCCCATTCAGCCTCGTCTCTCTTTACAAAGTAGTTTTGTTCATGAAATAAAGACTCTTGGACTTGATGCAGAGTTTTGATTGTGAGCCCGTCACCTTCCCACGTTCCCGTCCCCGAATCCTAGGGCTGGCTTTCCAGGGCCCTGCCTGTGGGCCACAGGTGAAGCCACTTAGTGCCTGGTGTGTGTCGGGCTTGGGTTAGGGGAGTCATTCGCTCAGGGGGGACCAAGAGTGGTGAGGGAGGGAGAGTGGGATGGAGCCGGGAAGGGAGGGGGTGCCGTGGAGGGAAGAGAGGGGAGGCTCAGGCCGGCGTGCAGGGCTTTCACGGGGTGTGCGGTGTGCCCAGCAGTGTGGGTCTCTGGAGAGGTGGGCGCTGGGGAGGAGAGGGAAGGAGAGCCGGGTACGGATGGAGAGGCAGAGGAAGCCAGGCTAAGGCAGCGTGTCCCAGTGAGGGCCCTGGGCTGAGTGGAGGAAATGGGAGCGGTGAGGGTGGGTTTGGCTGGGCACAGAGGGCACCTGTGGGTGAGCGGGTGGGGCCGGTGGTGCGGGCGGCCTATCTGGGCCAAGCCGCCGAGGCCGACTGTGTCCGGCGTGTGGGGGAGGGGGTAGGTGTCTGACGGTGACCCTGCGCGTCTGGTGTTTGCCTGGCCCTGGGTCTGACGTGGACCGCGCCTGGCTGCTGGCGGGACAGTGTGTTATCTGCCCGCGGACGCTTCCGGCCACTCGGCCTGGGCCTCTGCCCTCAGCGCTGTGTTTTCCGGGCCAAGCCCCCCCATCCCCCCTATCTAGTGCTAGGACTTTCTGGCTCCACAGGTCACCGCGGCCGGGCGGAGGCTGCCAAAGCAAACCAGCCCAGTGACTTGTAGGAAGGCCGCGGGGGAGGGGCAGGGGGAGGATGAGCAGGGCAAGCGGGGGGAGGGGGGGCCGGGGCTGGGGTCGGGGCCCGGGAATTGGGCACGGGATTGGGCAGGGGTGTAGGAAGTGGCGGGCTCAGCCTGGACCCGGGGCTGGAGGGCGCAGGCAGGGCGCGGGGAGGGGTCGCCGGGCGGGGGTGGAGTGGGCTTAGGGCAACTGGGGCACTCCGTGGGATTTCCTAGGGTCAGACCCCCGCCCTTGAGCCCGGTAGGCGCCCCCAGCCTGCACTTTCTCCCTAACCCCCCAGCCTCCAGCCAGCGGACAGTTCCCACGTCTCCGCAGGCAGGCACACCTGGGTCCCTCTGGAGCCCCGTCGCTGGGCCAGCCCCCGCAAGCCCGGCCCCATCAGCCAGGTGGCCTCCAGCGCTGCCAATCGAATGGTCCGGCCCCTCCCCGCCCCTTCGCCCGCCCCTTGCCCAGCCCCCTCCTCCTCAGGTGAGGCAGCCTGGCCTAGCAGGTCCCACGCCACCGCCTCTGCCTCCGGGCCGCCCGCTGCTGCGGGGCCACCATGCTCCTGCCCAGGCCTGGAGACTGACCCGACCCCCGCACCACCTCGAGGCTCCGCCCCCACCTGCCGGACCCCAGGGTAAGGACCAGGACCCCCAGACTCACAGTTCCAGCCCTGAGGACAAGGGGTTCCCTCGCTCCCACACCCAGCCTAACCTCCTAATAGAGGGGTTCCCGGGACCTGAAGAGGGGCTCTGTGACTTCCCCCCCAGCACCTAGGTGTTCTGGCCTGCTCTTCCTTGAGACTCAGAAGTTGGACCTCTGTCCTTTCCTCCCCAGACCCAGGAGTTCCAGCCCTCAGGCCCCTCCTCCCTCATACTAATGAGTCCTGGTCCCCAAATTCCTCCTTTCCCAGGACTCCTGATTTCAGGTCCTCAGCCGTCCATCTCCCTCAAACCCAGATCCTCAGTCCCCTGCTCCACCAGGCTCAGGCATGGGGGTCCCCAGCCCTGCAAATCCAGGCGTCCCCTGGCTGCTGGTCAGATACTGACCCCATCCTTGAACCCAGCCCAACCTGTGTCCGTGATCACGGTGTGCTCTGGCCAAGGCCCAGTCCCTACAGCCTGCCTGGATGGACGCTTGGGACTGGGGGCGCCAGGACTGGGCTGGGCTGGGCTCCCCCAGGCCCTGCCTCCCCGTCCATCTCCTCACAGGTCCCACCCTGGCCCAGGAGGTCAGCCAGGGAATCGTTAACAAGAGGCGGTGACATGGCGCAGAAGGAGGGTGAGTCCTCTTCCCTGAGCCCCAGCTTTGGCTCTGCCTGGCGCCCCGCCCTCTGTGCTCTCTTCTCTACCCTCCACCCCTTCAGAGCCCCCTCTCTCTGGGCACCCCTCCCAAATGCATCCCCACCCCTCTTAGTCCTCCTCCACCTGATTAACTATTAACCACATTTTCTGTGCAGCTGTGCCACCACCACCCTCCCTGCTACCCTATACGACCTTCCTGGCACCCTGCCTCAGTTTCCCCTCATCCCTCATTGATTTCTCAGCTAACCCTGGACTTGTCCTCTACTGGGGCTGAGGCAGGGAGGCTGTAGCTGTCATGGTTAAGGACGCAGGTTTGGAGTCAGACACACAGACTTGCATTGGAATTTGCTCCTGCCACCTTTTTTTGCTGTGTGATCTTGTGCAAGCGACATTATCTCAGGGCTTTGGTCTCCCCCTGGGTCAAGCATGGATCCTAGTGCTCCCTCTGTGAGGCTGTTGAGTGCATGAGACACACCAGGCACTGGCCTGGGGCTCTGCACATGGGACGCATGCCATGAACCAGGGCTGTGGTGACAGAGGGTGGCAGGCTCCGAGTCCCAGAGACCCAGGACCCGCACTGGTTCCAGACATTCCTCCACCTCCTGGCTCTGTGGGCAAAAGAGCAGAGGAAGGACTTTGGACTCGGCCTGGATGGATGGAGAGGGGAGAGACAGCAGAGAAACCACCATAGGATGACAGCGAGAGGCTGCCTGATGGGGTTGCTGGCCCTTGGGGGGCTCCGGGCAGCCCTCGGCTAGCCTGGCTTTCTTTCTACCTCTCACACGAGGGACCCAGCTGGAGGGGCGTGTGGAGGGGCGGCCTGCTCTCTGTCTTCCCCTAGCTGGGGCTGACTCCTTCTCTTCTTGCTGCAACCAGGCTAGCTGGCTCAGTCTGAGGCAGTAGCACTTTCTAGCTGTGTGGCCCTGGGCAGGCGGTGTGTCCTCTTTGGGCCTCCATTCTCTCACCTGTGAAATGGAAAGGGTGACGGTTGCATGCTTGACAGCGTGGGTTGAGGCCTGAAATGCCAGGATAGGCAGCAGGCACTGAGTGTGTTGGCTGGAATGATTCGTTTGGATCTCTGGCCTCTTCAGGTCTCGGCACAGCAGGCAATTCGGACCCCAAACCATTCAGCTGTGGTCCAGAGGGAACCCAGGCTCCTAGTTACCCAGGAGAAGGCGTTGCACCCTAGCCGAGCAGGAAGATGACAGAGTCCATCTCCCTGGGGATGACCTCTTTCCTGGAGCTGCCGGAAGGACAGCGCCAGAGCTTGGGCCTATGGGTGAATGAACCAGGGAAGAAAAGCAGAGGCCGGGTGCAGTGGCTCACACCTGTAATCTCAGCACTTTGGGAGGCCAAGAAGGGTGGATCACAAGGTCAGGAGTTCAAGACCAGCCTGACCAATATGGTGAAACTCTGTCTCTACTAAAAATACAAAAATTAGCTGGGCGTGGTGGTGTGCACCTGTAGTCCCAGCTACTTGGGAGCCTGAGGCAGGAAAATCGCTTGAACCTGGGAGAGAGGTTGCAGTGAGCTGAGATTGTGCCACTGCACTCTGGCCTGGGCAACAGAGTGAGACACCGTCTCAAAAAAAAAAAAAGAAAAGAAAGAAAAAAAAGCAGAAAATGCCTGGATGGACAGAGATGGCCTGGGTTCAAAGAGAAACAGACACAAAGTGGGCTCTGGTGCCTCCCCAGCAGCTCTGGGCTGGTCTCGAGGGCTGGGAGCGTGGGGGTCGAACCTGGACACAGATGCCAAAAGGTTCTGATGCTGCACTTACTTGCTGGGTGACCGGGGTTTGGTGGCTGCCACACTTTGGGCCTCCCTTTCTCATCTGTAAACTGGGGGTGGTGGCAATGGCGCCTTCCTCGTGAACGGCTGCAAAGATTTAAGGATGCTGTGCAGAACTGGACGGGGTTAGGGCAGGGCGGTGCATCCATGTGATTCTGAGAGCCCCTGTGGGTGCAGCGGCTGCTGTTGCCGGTGGTACTGTTGTTGCTGCTGGCTTCTGGGAAACCAGGGAACTTGGAATTGGAGGAGGTGATATCGGAGTTGCCATTCAAGGATGCCAGGCAGAGGGAAGAGCAAGGCTCTTGCTCTTCCCTGGGAAGCTGGGAGGTGACACAGTGCTGGCATGCACACAGCCAGTGGTGGTATTTCTGGAGGTGCAGTTGGAAGTGGAGCTGGGTGGGAGATGAGGTGTGTGAGCTGGACCAGGCTGCCATGAGGCTGTTTTGGGGACGAGTGGGCCAATTCCTCACAGTGCTGGGTCCCTCCACAAGGTGGCGCCAGTGGTTAGCCTCTGCTTCTCTTGTCTAACTTGTATTTTACAAGTTCTACTATTTGAGTTGCTTTTTGGACGCTCTCTTGGTGCCTGATAATGACCCACATGGTTGTCTGGGAATTGGGGGAAATACATGTTCAACTCCCAAATCTCTAAAAGCCATGCTTATACCCTAGTGGGGCTGGAAATGCCAGGCTGAAGGTCTTAGGCTGTCCTGGGGGTACCAGGGAGTCACCGAGGATTCTATAGGTAAAGAACGGGGTAGTTTGGATTTGGCGTCTCAGTAGGTTCCCCAAGCCTCCATGTGGAGGGCAGGCTAGAAGGGGAGACTGAGTAGTGGTTGGATGGGGCTGGAGCAAGGTGGGGATGGAGGGAGAGAAGGAACAGGGGGAGGAGAGTCACTCAGGAGGATTGGCAGGCTGTTGGCAGAGGGGAATGTTCTGCAGACAAGGACGGTCCTAGGAGCGAGGGTCTCTGAGACAGGACCTGGGAGGACGAATATATTTGGGGAGCCATTGAGGCCATTCTGGACCTAGTGGGGGCAAAGGGACTAGGAGGTCCCACGGAAAGGTATTTAAGGGACTGCAGGAGCCCTGACCTGGGGCCTAGAAGAGAGTCTAAGGCTGGGGACAGAGAGAAACTGAGGCCACTGAGGTGGGTGAGACAGACTTAGGGACAGGGAGGAGTGGGGCGAGGCCACAGCCAGCCCTACGAACTCCGCCTTTTATGCAGTAGGTAGAGGCTGGGTGGAGAAAGCAGTCTCAGAGACGAAGGAGGAGAATCAGGTGCGTGTGATGCCCCAGAAGTCCAGAGGAGAGCATTTATTCCGGAAGCTGCAGGCACGTAAGAAGAGGACTGAGACACGGAGCTACCAGTTAGTTGTGTGGATTTTCAGAACCAGAGAGCCAAAGCTGTCACTGTGAGGGTCTTCGCAGCCACATGGTGGAGGCAGAAGAACTGTCCTGTGAGAAGACACGAGGCAGCTGGAGGGCCTGGAGAAGCAGGGCAGAGAGTCTCAGGGAGAAGTGGCAGCGGGGGGTCTGGCTTACCGAGGGAAACGGGCCTGCTGCTGGAATCAAAGGGTTGACGATGCCTTGCCGCCTGTGCCAGTGGAGAGTACGCAGGGAGGATGAGGATGCATCCCACACCCGGGCCCAGACGAGGGTGCCACCTGCGCCATACAGACATGCAGGGAGGATGGCTCTCATACGGGGGAAACCTCAGGATGCAGATGCTTCCTGTCCTACTGGAGGCGCTGAAGTCCTCTGAACCAGACCAAATGCAAGGGGTTCTTCCTCTCACCCTAGGAGACGCATATGTGGTGGCATTCCTGTCCCACCAGATGTGCCAGGGCCTCTAGGCTGCATTCTGCATGGCAGGCACAGCTGGAAACAAAGGAAGCAAGAGCGGCCCACCGCCCGCTGGAACCTGGAGAGTGGTCCTGGGCAGAGCTGAGGGCAGGCCTGAGAGCCCTCGCAGGACAGGCAGGGGTCAGCCAGCAGCAGCTGGTCTGGTCTGGCCCACTGGGGCCTCTTTTGGGGAATAGAGTGTTCCCTCATGCCTTGATGGGAGCCACTTAGCTCTCAATTTTTTGTTTTTTTTTTTTTTGAGACAGAGTCTCACTCTGTTGGCAGAATAGAGTGCAGTGGCTCAACCTCAGCTGACTGCAACCTTCGCCTCCCAGGTTCAAGCGATCCTCCTGCCTCAGCTTCCCAAGTAGCTGGGACTATAGGCACCCACCACCACACCCAGCTAAGTTTTGTATTTTTAGTAGACATGGGGTTCACCATGTTGACCAAGTGGTCTCAAATTCCTGACCTCCAATGATCCACCTGTCTCAGCCTCCCAAAGGGCTAGGCTTACAGGCATGAGCCACTGTGCCTAGCCTGAGCTCTCAAGTTCTTAAGACACCCAGATAATAGCCACCCCAGTGAGGTTCTGGACTGCTCCCTCTCTGTTCCAGGCGCTGGCCTGGTGCCGAGCTCACCAGCCATACCGCCATGGATGCAGATGGGAGAGCTGGGAGCTCCTGCTGCCCTGGGGGTGGTCTTGCAGCTGCCAGGGGCAGTTGAGCCCAAGCCAGGCCCAGCTGAAGGATTTCGGCAGCCTTTACTCTTCGGTCCTCTTATAATCCCTTGGGAAGGGGTTGGCTTTTAATCTCTAGGACCTCTGCACTGGGAATAAAATCCCTTTTCCTGTGCCACCAGGCCTCCCCAGTCGGCCCCAGCCTTGGTTCCCACTACCTTCCCCAAGCTCCAGCCATCTGGCTGCCTCGATGACCTCTCCAGCCTCTGACATAACAGGGCGTGCTTATTCTTGCCTCAAGGCCTTTGCCTATGCTGTTCCTTCTGCCCACAGTGCCCTTCCTTGCGTTCTGTGCATGGTTGGCACCTCACCTTTCAGATCTTAGCTCAGAAGTCTCTTCTAGGGCATGCACTCTGATCCCTGATCCCCCTGCAGAAGGCCCTCTGATCCCTGATCCCCCTGCAGAAGGCACTCTGATCCCTGATCCCCCTGCAGAAGGCACTCTGATCCCTGATCCCCCTGCAGAAGGCACTCTGATCCCTGATCCCCCTGCAGAAGCCCATCTGATCCCTGATCCCCCTGCAGAAGCCCATCTGA